TCAAAGTCTCAATGTTTACATGCTGAAGGGAATAAAACTTGGTTTGTTTTATTTCTTAGGTTTATTTCCACTGCTTACATCTTTATATGTTTGATTTTGACTTTGATTTCAGTAACAACAGAGACTAAACCGTGTGTGTGTTTGTGATTGGTGTGGTCCAAGCTTTGTAGAAAACAAGTCAGGCATCACGACAGGGAATATAAATTAGCTGTTTGATCTAATCTGCTGCACTAGAAAGACAAGGTCAAAGACGACTAATGTCTTTAAAGCAGAAAGACGAGGAAACCTGACTGCTTGGGGGGCAGGTTGGTACATCTAATTTCTAAGCACAAGAGGAACAAATAAATTTTAGGTTTGCAGGCAGAGAATGTAACAGATTCTTACACCAGAATGGCTAGATATAGTTTTTTTTTTCAATAGCAATAAACAGATAAACAGATCAGTCCCTATTTTAAATAAAGAACAGGGGGAATGGTAAATGGCCTCTACTTATAAAGTGTTTTTTCAAGGCAGAAGACTTGACCAAAAACCTTTACACTACATTCACCCATACGCTGATGGTGGCAAGCTACATTGGTAGCCACAGCTGCCCTGGGGCTCACACACAGAAACGAGGTTGCCGTACATTGGCGCCTCTGACCTAGCCGGACGTAGTCCTACTCAATTCTAGTCAGAATGAGTCTGATGCTGCTCCATAGAGCTGTGAATATGGGGCGTGTTTCGAACGAACCAGGAAAAAAAATGCCTCTGCACTCAATTGGATAGACCTACAACCAATAAGAGCAACGGAGTGCGTGACGTATGTTAAGTGACGCATAGTTGTTGTCCACAAAAATCAAAGCGTGCAGTTGCACGCCTAGAATAAGAAGATGAGCCTTGATCGCGTTTCTCTGTTCCTCTTTTAAAATTAATTTGCTGTCGATATCTTCTAGAACAGACCTAATAGCAGAATCTACACACCTCAACTCTCCGGCGGCAGCCATTGTTGTTGTCACCCAAGCGCGCTTTGGTCACGTGGTTGATTACGTTACTGTTGATCATCTGTCCATCATCGTATAAAGCCCGCCCTGACAATTTGATTGGCCCGCCAGATTTTGTGCGAGCATACTCGCGCTAATATTGAGCAATGCCAGACCGAACTTCCCGAACTCAAACCTTGTTGGACTAAGTTCGAAATGGCACCCAGGCTACCTCTGACCACCATCAGTAGGCAATGCAGGTGAAGAGTCTTGCCCAAGGATACAATGACACTGAAAGCCAGAACCGAGGCTTGAACAGACGACACTCCGATTGCAGGGCAAACTCCTGCACCCAACGCCACTGTCGCCCACTCAGAATGGTGACATGAACCTAAAGCTGGTGTTCTGTCAGATGAGCATACCCAGTCAGACCAGCATACAGATATTCAACACTCATTTATCTCTTAATTTATCCCCTTTAGTTTTGTACAAAAAATAGACTTTAAACTACCTCAACGGGTGAGTATCCCTTAAGTCATGTACAAAAAAACGATTTAATTACTTACTTTTAGTTGTTTTTTGACCATAAACAGTTTTTTTGTACATGACTAAAGGGATACACGCCGGTCGAGGTAGTTTAAAGTCTATTTTCTGTACAAAAAGAAGGGATAAACGCAATCTGATGTCTTGTGCATCCGTATTGACTATAGGTATGCTGGTCTGATTGGGTAAGCTCATCTGACAGAACACCGGCAATGAATAACAAAGAAAATATAAAGATTCAGAATTGTCAGGGTTTGGTTGAGGTTTTGAGGACCCAAATGCAGAGGCAGGGAGGCAGAGGTGAGTTATGTAGTTTTAATGGAGTGTTCACAGGTAACAGAGGCGGAAATCCAAAAATAGAAAGGCTTTGCTTTGCTTAAGACGTCCAGGAATCTCACCGCTAAACTGATTCATTTTGCTAAATAAAAGCATCCACAAAAATTTTCTACAATGGATTCAGACAAACGGATAAAAACATGTTCTATAGGGAAGAAAATGTGCTCTTGGTGAAATTTTAAAAGTACAAAAAAATAGATAAATAAAAAAAATAGACAAGACCCTGACTCAAAAATATCATAATGGATTCTGTTTGATCCCAGTAGTTTCATCTTTATGATCCATTAAAGCTCGGTTTCCACCACAGAAACCAAAATCAGAAACCATAGTACAACCTCACACCTGAACAATGACTAAAAAGATTAGATTATATAGAACCAAAGCCTGAACACTAAATCAAACAGCTGCTTTGAGCAGCCGGAGCCTGTTTCTACGTTCCCCCTTCGTTCCCTTTGGTCCCTCTCAGCAGCAGCTAAATCCAGCATTTCATCCTGAAAAGCATCTGTCTCCCACGCTCAGTAAAACGACTGCTGTGTTTATCATCTCTATTCAGAAGTCATAGCCTGTTGGCTCAACAAAGGCTGGAGATTAGGCAGATTGATTTTCACAGACAATTAAAAAACACGTGAAAACTTCCCACATGACAGAGAGGACACTTTAAAACATGAAAACAGCTGGGATGCTTTATTTAGCTATAAGCAATCCAGGCTTTGCAGACTTATGGAGCAACTTTTTTCATGTAAATAATCAGATCTGAGCTCTTCCAGTTAAAGCTTTAAAGGAGAAGTCTGGTCAGCAAGAAATAATTAATGGATCATTATTTATACCTAAAACTAATACGATCGCAGTGATTTAATTTATTTTTAATTTGATTTTCATCGCAATCACTGAATCTGGGAGCGGCCATTTTTGCCCAAATACAGTAACCCCTCCCTCCTGCCATCTTCCAGCAGTGACGTCACGGTGCGGTAAGCCTAGCGCCATTCTCCCCGCTTTACAAGCAAAATAAATGGGAACTACTAGACACATCCGTAATCAACAACAATTATTGAAGATTTCCAGAGGACTTCACCATTGAAATTCACCAGAGCTATAGTGAAACTGACAATGCCCACGTGCATGGCAGCTGGATGTTGGAATACATTGGGTAAAAGTGGAAAAGAGTTATTCCACCTTTCTGATTCCTGATCCTCCACGGACGGGTTGGTCGTTGGATCGCCAACTTGAAGAGGGAGGATTTGCCATCGAACTTCTGGCCAGAGAAAAAACCCGTAATATGTAGCCAAAATCCAGTATGCAGGATGACTTCCTGCCAAAAGACAAAAAACAAAGATCATGTTAGACTCATAGAAACAAAGACTCAGTTAGACTGGCAAACACTGTGGCGCCGAGGCAGTGACAGTCCACTGCTTAAGTACTCCTCCCGATAATGATCCAACGAGACGCAGGTGTGCAGGTGGGGCACAACCTCGTGGAGGAGAAAAAGAAACACAAAAACAACCCACAAAAACTGGATTCCTGACACAAATACAGCACTGGGACTTGATCAACAGCCGATACCGCACCATGACGTTACAAACCTGTAGGTGGCAGTAGTGTTCTTTGACAAACATGGATGCCTCCAGTAAAACACATTCAAATGAAAATTACTCTTAATTAAAATCACTTATCATTTATTGAACAGGATGGAATAATTTCATATTTAAAGAACTTTCAGAAGTTTGACTTCTGAATATGAACAGACTTTTCCTTTAACAGTTGCTACATTTGATCTCTGCTGAAAACAGAAATTGAAATGTGGAAACCACACCATGCCTTATCGTCTTTGGAAGCTATATTCAGCTCAGTTTTATTTTAGTTTTGCACCAGTTCTCGACATTTCATCCTTAAGCTCTTTTCTGAGTCATTTTAATCAGACAGGTTCAAGTTTTCAATCTAAGTAAACCAAGCAGATCACATCCAGTCATTGACTGTGCAGTAATCCCTCATACAGATCATGCATGTGGCGACAGTGGACAGAAAAAAAACTTCATTTTTAACAGGTTGAAACCTCCTGCAATGACTGCCCTTGCTCATCCCTACATGTAGCTAAACTGGTAACTCAACGATCAGTCATGTAATGCCTTCAGATCAGAGAGATAATATTTAAATACTTACCATCTCTGAAAAAAAGAACATGCAACCCTTTAATAGTTTATTTTAACCAGATACAGAGGAAGGATTATGGGACTTTCATTCCAGAAGGAGTCCATGTCTGACCAGCAGAGATGTGAAGGCAAGGATTTCCCTTTGGGAGGCGTTTGATCTGGTTGAAGCACACAGAGTCCCAAAGACAGCAGTCACACATAGATCCATTTCATTCTGCCAGGCAGCCTTGGTTTTAGGAATAGAGTTATTGCTAAGTTCCAGAATAAAACCATACAGCAAATTTCTGGAGTCGAACATGTGATCCATTCCTAGATTACGCACAGGATGTCGGCTGCATGGTGTATCCCCATGGTTTGTATCTCTATCCTTGTTTTCAGTTCCAGGTCTGGGGGCTTTTCTGCATGGGTGGGTATTTCCCTCATGAGAAAAATATGCCGATTAGGTTAATTTATGTCTCCAAATGTCCCTTTGGTGTTTATGTCTGTTAATGACTGGTTACCCTGTAACCCTGATGAACAAGTGGTAGAAAATGATTGGAAAAATATGCCAAATGGATGAAAATGTATGGATTTAAATGAAGGTTATTTTACCAAATATTGTCATTCAAACTGGAAGTGGGTTTTTCTGTCTGTAATTCTCCTTCGGTTGGAGTCATTGTTTAGCTTTGAATGTTTGTCACCTTCGCTGGCTGCCAGTTTTCAGTGTGCAACGTGTCAGCCTGAGTTTTCTCAGATTAAAGTCAAAGACCTAAAGCTGCACAGGTACTTACTGTGGTTCAAAGCGTCCTTGTCAAAAATCTTTTGGTTTCTCTTTTTTTATAAGGTGCAAAGAAGAGGGGAGGCAATATTTGAATAATATTCCTATTTCTGTTTTCTTTTCCCATTCAATTTTTTACATCAACATTTTATGAGGCCAAATCAAATCCAATAATCTCAGAAGGAATTTCAGGAAGCTTCTCTTTAGGAGTTTAACACTTTGTCACTTACATCTGGGCTGATTAATTTGTTTTCCTAGGAGTACCATGCTCAGCTAGAGGAGATGAGAGTTTCCATCAGGCAGCTGGAGGAGGACCTGTCTGCAGCCCGTCGCCGTAGCGACCTGTACGAAGCTGAGCTGAAGGAGTCTCGACAAGGCAACGAGGAGCTGAAGAGGAAGGCTGCAGACTATCAGCACAGGATTCAGAAGGTCCTCAGCAGCGCTAAAGCTGTCCACAACCCAAAAGTCTTCTTGGCAAACATATTCCAGCTAATGGAAATGTCAATAATTGGTAGTTATGGTCATTTTTCATAATTATTCCTCTGTCACTACAGGCCAAAGAGCAGAGCAAAGCAGAGGTAGAGGAAATGATCACCAAACTGGAAAAGGTAGGTCCAAAAGAGAAAACCACCTGCATCATCCGGTGAACATTTAATTCTTCTGTCAAGGCTCAAAAGTTTGATTTCATCTCCAAATATCTGCTTTGGTCTTAGGCCAGCGGAGAGCAGCAGCAGAGGATCCAGGACCTGCAGGAGAAGCTTGCAAAGGTAGAATACGATGAATCATTTATGACGGGTTGTCCTCCTCCTTTCAGAGGAGTCTTTATATTCAAAGTTCACCTTTGCTGACCTCGTCCTTCCTCTGCCTGTCTCTCCTGGAATCTGCTTCTTATTAAGTGTCTGCTCAGAGAGCAATCAGCAGACTGAATATGAAGGGTCCTCTTTAAATAAGCCAGATTTTCATCCTAAAGGCGATTTTCTATTAGAATTAAGGAAAGTTCTGCTGCTGATGAGGCGGATAGAGCAGGAGAAAACGGTTACAACTTGTCTCCGTATAACCGCAGACTTTACCGTACCGCAGACTTTTTTTACTTTATGTGGTTCAAAGAAAACAGAAGAAAAATTATGAGATGGAAGAAAAATATAGCATTTTCCTGGTTCATTTACAATTTAAATTACATTTTTTTTTTTTATAATTTTCAAAATAAGATCCACTGCAATGAAAAGCCTGAAGAAGTCACCTGATTAGTAGAATAACTAGTTTGTGGTTAATAAATCCAGCTGTTCTGAACAAACATAATTATAAAGGCCAAGAAAAATGGCAGAACAATTTGTGTGAAAGTTTAAAGCAGAGTTAGACAGATCTGTCTGTCTAAAAGGAAAAAGAGAAGGAAACAGCTGCAAATCTACCACTGATGAAGGAGAGCATTAATGGAAGGAGCAGGTTACTCTGGAGGAGCTACAGAGGCTCAAAGCAGGGAGATTTAAGCTATTTGCTTGTATTTTGAGAATGAAGGAAACTCAGCAAACGTCTAATGAAGGTGATCTGGTGACATCGGGTCAAAGTGGAACATGGTGCTGATCTTCAGCAGGAACTTAAACGGAGAGATGCAGCTAAATGCAGATACCAACGTTCAGATCTATGGAGGGAATTTGGCTCCAATATTTCTGCAAGTAAAAAAAAAAACACACACATTCAACAAATTAAATTTGGCAAGAATAAAATAAAAAAAATTAAGAAATGAAAACAATTTTAGAATTTCGTTTCACATTTGTTTTAGGTTTTTAAAAATATATTGTTTATTTTTAGATTCTATATCAGATTTTTTTTTCTAATTTAGATTTTACAGGTTTTATATTTTCCATGTTTTAATTTAGCTTTTACAGATTATATATATATATATATAAACCTGTAAAAACTAAATTAGAAAAAAAAATCTGATATAGAATCTAAAAATAATCAATATATTTTAAAAAACTAAAACAAATTTGAAATGCAATTTTAGAATTGTATTATATATATATATATATATATATATATATATATATATATATATATATATATATATATATATATATATATATATATATATATATATATATATATATATATGTGTGTATTTTTCATAGATCTTTTTATTACAGATTTTATATGAATACATATTTTTGTCAAATACTTTTTTTAAACCGATTTTATATTTTCATTTTTTGTTTCAAATTTCTGTCTTTCAGATTCAGTTTTACAAATTGCAATATTTTCAAATTTCTGTTTCATAGATAACGTTCTATTTACTTTAAGCTCTATAGAAACGCTCGCCATTGGTTCAGCAGACCAATAAATAATCATCTCTGCTCTTCGCTGCAGGGGGAAGCCCGTCCCCAGAAACAAAGAAAATGTGATCTGAAAAACAATATTTGAAAAGAAAGCAAATTGTACATCTCAGTCTGAAAAGAGAAATTTGAAAAAAAATTCTAATTTGAAATCTGTAAATAAAAAAATAAAAAAACCATTTGAAAAGTTGCAATATTAAAAATTAATTTGAAAGAAAAATCTGAGGAAACAATGCTACTTCAAGTTTAATTTCTCAAATTTTAATTTACAAACCACATCCTTTTAGATCAAATCTAAACTCCCAGTAAATACAGAACAGTATGATGCTGTAATATGACAAACCATAAACAGATTGAGGGATATGAATACTTTTTTAAGACAATGGAGGCCCTACTTATGACAAACCAGTTTATTAGATAATCAGGAGTGTAGTGAGTTTATAAAGTTGGAGCAGGACCCAGAGTCCCCTATAATGTGCTGGAGATGTTTTAAATAAAGGTGGAAGCACATTGAAATGTGAAAGCGTGAAAGCCCTTTGGGAAACTCCTCATTGTGACACAGCACACACAAGTGAACACTGCACACCATGAAATTGCATTTATGCCTCACCCATGCAAGGGGGCAGCCCTCAATGGTGCCCCAAGGGAGTAGTGTGGCAGGACGGTACCATGCTCAGGGTACCTCAGTCATGGAGGAGGATGGGGGAGAGCGCTGGTTAATTACTCCCCCCACCAACCTGGCGGGTCGGGAGTCGAACCAGTAACCATTGGGATCCAAGTTTGACACCCTAACCGCTCACCCACGACTGCCTAATATCAAAATTTCACCTCTTTAGGTTGTTATGGATCCATAATGATCAAAGGAACAGCTAATGGGTGGTTGTTTCCTTTTCCAGACGTCAAAGGCCAGCGCCGAGGCCACAGACCATCTCCAGAGCATGAAAATGGCCAAAGAGCGCCTGGAGCGCGACCTGGAGAGGCTGCAGAATAAGGAAGACTCCAGCGACAGCCTGCGCAGACGTCTGCGTGAGACCGAGGTACGTCTCTGCTGCACGGATGAGTGCTGCAGACATTTGTTGCTTTTACAGAGAAAGATAAGAAAAAAAACTTACAAAGTGTTGCATAAATAAATCTGCTGTAAGACGCTGCAAAGCACAAAGAGGCCATATGTTCCCAAGGAGACAAGTTGTTGCTCCCCCTGATGAACATTTGTGCTGTGATTGCATGCTAGCATGTCAGACAGGCTTTGGGTTTGCTGTTTCTCCTCAGTGGAGCTCTTCTCTTGAGCAAAATAGGACAATTAGATGATTTGCACTTGGTTTGCAGTTTTGTGGGTATTCTGGCAGCCCAGAGGGGTTGTTTCAACTGTTTATTTATTAGGTTTGGAAATTTCACAAGTATCAGAGACGCTGCATAAATATGCCACAAAAGCTTGCAAAGAATTTCTTAGTGTGGAGGTTCAGAAGGACCCAGAAGTTTCTCCTGCAACATTTATCAGTTACATTCAGTTCAGTTTATTTCTATAGCACCAATTCACAACACATGTCATCTCAGGGCACTTTGTGGTTCACCTAGATCATCCAGTCAGATTGATTCTAAGTTTTCTCTCTAATGAAAACCAGTTAATTGCGTTGATTTATTGACTCTTCAGCAATCCCTCACACTAAGCAAGCTTGTAGCAACAGTGGAGAGGAAAAACTCCTTTTTAACAGGAAGAAACCTCCAGCTGAACCAGGCTCAGTGTGAGCGGCCATCTGCTGAGGCTGACTGGGGTTCAAGGAGACAGAAGCAGACATAGAAAAAGAAGCATAGATACAAAAGGCAACTGTCAACCAGCTCCACAGGCGGCCCCGTCCAGGAAACACACAGCCAGGCAGACGAGCTCCGAGCCAGCTCCCATGTCAGAGGATGAAGAGAGCACATCCAGTTAGTCACAGTCAGAGAAACAGGACTACACTGGAAAACAGGCCGAGCTCCAACATCTAGAAACAAAGGTGTTGATGGCAGTAGCACAGCTGATATTTCTCTCCAGGATGGAGTCACAGCCAAACAGGAACAGACCAGATGAAGCTACTATGAGAAAAAGCAGAGAGAGCAGAACGTTAGAGATTGAACTAACAGATTCTGCAGAGTGGGAGAATAGAGATAGAATGAAGCAGAATGATGAAAAAGGGGTCCCTATGTCCTCCAGCAGTCTAAGCCTATAGCAGCTTAACTATAGAGATAGCTCAGGATAACCTGAGCCACTCTAACTATAAGCTTTATCAAAAAGGAAAGTTTTAAGCCTAGCCTTAAAAGTAGACAGGGTGTCTGCCTCACGGACTAAAACTGGTAGTTGGTTCCACAGGAGAGGAGCCTGAGAACTAAAAGATCTGCCTCCCTTTTACTTTTAGAAATTCTAGGAACCACTAGTAAACCTGCAGATTGAGAGCGAAGTGCTCTGTTAGGAACATAAGGAACAATCAGATCTCTGATATCAGATGGAGCTTGGCCATTTAAGGCTTTATATGTGAGAAGGAGGATTTTAAATTCTATTCTGGATTTAACAGGAAGCCAATGAAGAGAAGCCAGGATAGGAGAGATATGAAATGTTTTCAGTACTGTTTTTTCTCAGCCAAACTGTGCTGGTTTAGAGAGCGTAGCAGCAAACTACGTTAAGGCTGATATGTTCTTGTGTGAAGAGGCTCAGGTCCCAGAGACTTAGACACTGGAAGTCTGGAATCTTCTCCTTTGTAAAAAGATCCATGGAATAAACACATCAGCAAATAAAATAGAAATAAGTTGGAACCCTCAGACGCAGAGCTCTCATGACGTCCTCTTAAAGGTTTGTGAGTCTGCAGATCGATGTGAGCTGATCACTCTGAGGTTCTGCAGCCCGATTGATCTTTTTCTGGCTCTTAGACTCATTGTAACAGAAATCTCAGGAGGCTGTGTGTGGAGCCTGAAGGTCATCTTACAACTGTTAAGAAGCAGCTGCTGAATGCACCCTGCATGCAAGGATCTCCTAAATATGGATGAATTCTGTTCCGTTATTCCTGCTGACAAAAACACTTTTTGTGGTTGGATATTTTTAAAAAGAAAATCCAGAAATTACACTTTAAAAAATTTACATATTCTTTTCAGTTGCTATTTTTTTCTTCAAGATTGATTTTTACGAATTGCTTTTTTTAATTCATTTTGTTTTATAGATCACATTCTCTTCCCTTCAAGCTCAATCCGACATCTCTTAAAGAGGAAGAGGATGTGATCTGGAAAACTAAAATCGTTTAACTCAGAAGACTCTAAGAAATGAATGTGAATTTTTTTTTTGATTAAGAACTTTTTTCTTTTCTGGCTTGTATTTTTTTTTCTAAATTTCTAATTTAAGTTTATAAAACTTCTATCTTACTTCTGTCTCCTTAAACCCCAGTCGGCCTCAGCAGATGTCCGCTCACACTGAGGTTTCTTCCCTGTTAAAGAAGTTTTCCTCTCCACTGTAGCTACAAACATGCTTGGTTTGAGGGATTGCTGAAGAGTCAATGTGTTTGATTTCAGAGGCTGCGTCCTCCAAGGACACGGTCCAGGTAGATCGGGTCTTTGGAGGTCTGTGAAAATAATGCTGAAAGTGTTTTAGCCCATACGCTCTGTCGCTTAGCAACCGTGACAGTTGACTCACAAAGCACACAAAGACTGGATACCAAACTTCTGACTTCTGTTTGGGATGTTAAATTTATTGTTGAGGAGCTTCAGCAGCAGTACCGTCGTTTTATAGTCCCCACACTGCAGATATATTGGAATCTGAGCTGAAATGTCAGCCAAAACCATTTACACAGGGACAGATAAAACCTTTCAATAAACCAAACATTACTGCCACATTTCTAACTCAAGAACCATTAAAACAACTTTTTTCATTAATTTCAGATGGAACTATTCAAATACTTGTATTATATTAAATTGCACTTCCAATAATCACCACTGTTTGGCGACATTTCCCTGTTTCTTCTAGAGAAACGTGGGATTCCCGTGGGATGGGAGTCAGTATTAGTAACGATCACATGATTGGGACGGTACAGGATTAAACATTAACGGGAGCAGACAGGAGCGGGAGCAAACCGATAGTAACTAAAAAAAAACTAGGATCAATACCAAAAAATAAAATAAAATAGAAAGAAAAAAATCCAGTACTGGCGCCGCCATTTTGTAGTTTTTTTCCTTGAAGCCTACACTATAATGCGAGTCAAAAAAACTACACGACCCAAAAACCAACAGTGCTTCCGCTCTGAGTTTTTCACCTGCGGTCAAAAACAACAGGAATGGGAGTGGTGCGGGAGCGGGAGTCATTCTGAATGGAGCGGGAGTAATTTCACCAGGAGTGGGACGGGACAGGATTTAGATTTATACTCTGGCCCGGGATCGGGATGGGACACAATTTTTTTCTGTGGGAGTGGGACGGGACAGGAGTGAAAATCCACTCCCGTGTCAGTCTCTAGTTTCTTCTGAGCACAAAGCAACGGGTTGCTAGGACTCGCAATGAATCATGGTATACCCAAGGCTACTGAGGATACAGAAGATCTGTCCTTCAAAACGGACAAAAAGAAGGCTGCATTTGACGGCCGCATAACGAGGAGTCTTTCAATCCCAACCGACCTCTATGAAGTAATCGAAAGATGAATCTGGACTTTAGAGGACACAGCCGCTGAATTGAAACTCAGCAAATGAGTCGATGCAATCACCTGGTTTTCCTTAAATAGAAAACTTTGAACCCATCTGACTGGATGACCTGGTTGAATTGTTTCTGTAAAGTGCATTGAAATGACATGAGGTGAATTGCTGCTATATAAATAAAGGATAAGGATAAGATAGACTTTATTGATCTCACAGTGGAGATATTCTCTTGTCACATCGGCTCAATAGTCAAAATAAAGGTGCCAAAAGGAGGAAAAGGTGCATGCGGTATATGCAGTATATACAGTGTGTCCACATATATAACAGCTGAAGTCTCTTATTTAAAGGTACACTATGCAACCGGTGTTGATTTTCCAGCGAGGCTCCCCCCAGAGGGCGAAAGTAAAAGTGCACTGTCGTAAATATGCACAGCTGTTCTCCTGGTTTCTCAGTCAAGTCAGGCGCGGTTGTTTTGAGCTTAGCAGACAGGCGAACGCAACGAACACAGTGAAAGTATGAACATGCACACAGAGAGAGAGAAACCATTCCAATGTTACTTACAATCGCATCAGCAGAAACGCGAGGTCCGCGTCAGCCTTGCAGCCTTCTTTTTATTTTAGCTCTCGCCATTCGGAAAAAGCTTGCCCGATGTTCACCCGTGTACGACTCCTCTCTCTGTCCGGAGCCCTTTTCCTCTTTCTTGCCTGCTCCGACATGGGCTTTCGCTGTTTTCACGCTGGTTCCGCCATGATAACTGCACAAATATCGCCACTGTGCTAGCAACAAGCATGCTTTTAACTGGGGGCGTGTAGCAGTTCTAGCCATAAAGCAAGGCCGACTCTCGCGAGACTTCTGAGCCTGTGGGTGCGGGCCGAGGGCTCCTGCAATTGCAAGTGCGGTATTTCCCCTACAGACCACCAGGGCGGCCGAGAAAACCTTTGCTCAACCTGAAATGACTCATTTCATCATCCAAAACGTTATGGAACACATTAATTAACTGAAAAAGGTTGCATAGTGTGCCTTTAACAGGATTATTACACGGGGTATTAAATGGGTATTTATAGAAATACGTATTTATTAAATATTGTTATTGTACAGGGTATTAAATATCGATTGCACATTCTTTTTGCAGTTACAGTGCTGCATTGTTGAGTCTGGTTGCAGCAGGGATGAATGACCTGCGGTAGCTCTCCTTTTTACTAACAGGGTGTAAAAGTCTTTCACTAAAGGAGCTGCTCAGCTCCTCTACAGACTGCTGCAGAGGGTGGAAGGTGGTGTCCATGATGGATGTGTCATGGTTTTATCAAGAGCTCAGACCCACATGCAGAGAAACCAAAACAGAGAGACCAGGGAAAAAGTTTAACAGGTTTATTGAGAAGCTTGTGGAGATTCCATGTTGCCCTGAACACTGCTCAACCGGAACTGAAAGGTGAGGGGAAGACACTGCGGTTAGTTGAGGTTCAGTGGGAAAATTGATTTTCAAATTTGAAGAGGAGAAATGGTTTGCAGACTCACGTTTCCAGAAAAATGGTTGACTCTTAGACTCCTGTCGGTGTAGGGTGTTCCAGTGTTTGTCTCTTTTGGTGGAGGGCGGACAGGGTTACCCAGAATGTGGTTGTTTGTAGGAGAATGGAGAAACTGACTGCCACTCAGTTTTCCTGCGGTACTTGAACGGACTGTGGTGCAGATGAATCCCTTGCTCAGTGTGAAACTCAAATTCCTTGCAGAAAAGTGGATCCAAACCTCCAGTTTGAATCCCCAGATCAGTTTGAGGCTCAGTTGATCCTTCAAGGGAGAGAAGGTCAGAAACGGCCAGTTTGCAGGATGACTTTCTGCCGAGAGGCAAAGACAAAAATAGCAAGATTAAAACTTGACAAGGTTGACAAAAACTCAGTTTGACTCGGCAAAACTCATCTTGGCCAGAGTACCCAAAACTGGCAAACACTCTGGCGTCGAGGTAGTGGCAGTCAGCAGCTTAAGAACGCTCCGTTAACGAGGTAACCCTTAGCAGGTGTGTGAGGAGGTGAATCAGGACCAGGCGCCGCCTGGTGGAGGAAGGAAGACAAACACACAAACCACACAGACAGGAGTCCTAACAGGATGTAAGCATGGAGAGCACCCTCCTCTCAGCCACTTCCTCCACCGAGTCCAGAGTGCAGCCTAGGACAGAATTGTCCTTTCTCACCAATTTGTTCAGTCTCTTTCTGTTGTGTTATTTGCAACAATTGAACAAATGGAACAAAATCAACTCCATACATTACATGCTGCAGCTAGTAAGCACAGCTTCTACATGGAATAGCTCCAGAGCCTGACCTTGTTGTCTCCAGGTGCAACCACTACCCCATCATCCCCGAACGGCACCTCTGGAGCGGAGCTCTAACGTCTGATCACCTTCTTCTTTACGACCACGTGACGATAACGGGGAAAAAAAGCGAAAAAGTCCTATCTTTGCTGCGTCTTTCCAACAACCTTTAACATCCTTTGTTTTTTTATCTGCAGGATGGAAGGAAGACCCTGGAGAACCAAGTGAAAAGGCTGGAGATTGTTGAGCGCCGGGAGACGAAGCTGAAAGACGAGCTTCAGAGCAAATCGCAGCAGATTCAGCAGATGGCAGAAAAGATTCTGGTAAGTCCTTCTTTTCTGCGCTTTGAGGAGAGCCAGAAAGAGCAGGAGGAAAATAAACTTCTCGTTAATTAAGATTCGTTAATAATCATTAGAGTAAATATAACGTTTCGGATATATATAAAGATTTTTGTTTTCCTGTAATGGAATTTTTTTTTTTTTAAACAACTCACTAAACAAGTCAAGGAAGTAATATTATAAAACATGGCTTTTGTAAATAGAAAAGAGATAAAAGGACAACAAAAACAGTTAAAATCCAGACATCAAGGAATAATCCATCCATCCATACATTTTCTTACACACTTATCCCGAGTGGGATCGCGAGGGGTACTGGTACCTATCTCAAGCAGTCAATGGGCAAGAGGCGCCAGTCCATCGCAGGGCAACACATAACAACCCTTCACACACTCACACAATTTACAAAAGCCAATCAACCTAACAGTCATGTTTTTGGACTGTGGGAGCAAGCCGGAGTACCCGGAGAGAACCCACTCAGACTCAGGGAGAACATGCAAACTCCATGCAGAAAGACCCTGGGCCGGGAATCAAACCCAGAACCTTCTTGCTGCAAGGCAGCAGTGCTACCCACTGCGCCACTTATACCTAAAACTAATACGTTTGCGGTTATTTAATGAATTTAGCGTTAATCAGTAAAAAAAAAATAAAAAATAACAATTTTCACTGAGTCTAGGAACGGCCATTTTTGTCCAAATATAGTAACCCCAATGGGAACTACTAGACACATCTGCAATCAACAACAATTATTGAAGATTTCCAGAGGACTTCACCACTGAAATTCACCAGAGCTATAGTGAAACTGACAATGCCCACGTGCATAGCAGCTGGATGCTGGAATACATCGGGGAAAAGTGAAAAAAAGAGTTATTCCACCTTTCTGATTCCTGATCCTCCACGGACGGGTTGGTCGTTGGATCGCCAACTTGAAGAGGGAGGATTTGCCATCGAACTTCTGGCCAGAGAAAAAACCCGTAATATGTAGCCAACATTTGGAAGAAGAATGTTTTCAAGATGACTTGGATAATAGCGCGTTGTGACAAACACCAGATACAGCACTGGGACTTGATCAACAGCCGATACCGCACCGTGACAATGTCACTAACCAGTAGGTGGCAGTAGTGTTCTTTGACAAACATGGATGCCTCCAGTAAAGCACATTCACATGAAAATTACTCTGAATTAAAAACACTTATAATTTATTGAACAGGATGGAATAATTTCATATTTAAAGTACTTTCAGAAGTTTGAATTCTGAATATCACTGGACTTTAACTGTGGCTACATTTAATCACTCCTGAAAACATGAATATAATGATCTATACATTATGGTTTATGGTTTTTCTCGACATCCTAAAGCTCTTTAACTGAGTCATTTTAATCAGACAGTTTCAAGTTTTCCATGTAAGGAAACCCAGCAGATTGCATCCAGTCATTGACTGCAGCAATCCCTCATACAGATCATGCATGTGGCGAGTGTTGAGAGAAAAAAAACTTAACTGGAAGAAACCTCCTGAAGAACCAGAACCAGGCTCAGTGTGAGTGTCAATTCTCCTTTAAACCAGAGAGAATTTTACCTTTTTTAGGCAAATTATGGCATTTTTCTTATTTATTTTAAAGGTTTACTTGAAATATTTCACAAAATAAATCACAAAGACAGAAAATGAAATTTTTTATTTACATTTATGAACTGATTTACTCAAAATAATGAAGAGATTCTTGACATCAGAGATATCAAATTTTCCATGAAATAAAGGAAGTCTTTAGATGTGGAAAAAAGGTTTTGTCCTGAATATCAGGTGGACGGCTACAGATCAGCTGAACTGCTGCTTCCAAAAGACACACGGAGTCAAATTCAAACCGTGTGTCAGGAATCACCCACAGGGAGTAAACAGAAGCTCATTTTCCAGCTGGATTCCTTTATTTTAGTGGAATTATTTATTTCATATATGAAAGATAATGACTTCTTTTTGAAGGCTTGAAAAAGGTGTTGTCTAAAATTGGCATTAAACTGAGAAGAATATTTCTGTTTGAAGTCCACAGTGACCAATTCTTATCACATCAGCTGTCAATGATGACAGATGTGTTGATTAAAGGTAAAAAGTTAGTAAACCTAGTTAACAATTATATTTAGATTTATAAACTAGAAAATGTCAGTGCCAGTATCAGCATTAATGCCTCTAGGGTTATGCTGTATCAAAACAATGTGTTTCTTTCACTCTGAATGTTTTTTCATGAATTTCTTATAGAAGCACTTTTATTATTTTTCTTAATATATTCGGGTAAGTTGGCATTTCTTGTTATTACATTGACATTACTTTTTTACCATCAAAATATCCTTTTTTTTTTTTTTTACAGTGTCCTGTCTGGCAATGCGGCAATAAGAATAATTGTCTTGATGCCAAAAAGAGCCCAACAGATTTTACTTTCACAAGTGGAGCAGTACGGCTATCACCATAGTGTTCTGCTTGTTTCATGCATGTAAATTGATTTATTATAATTATTCAGGGAGTTTTACAGTTTATATGGACAGTGCAATGTGAATAGAACAGGAAAAACAGAAAAAAAGGAGAAAAGATGAAAGTAAGAGGAGATGAAAGGGACATAATGATAAAACATTTTCAGTCTGCTTGAGATGTAAAAAGAACAGCTCAACCAACAAACATGGTACCAGACATACAATAAAGTAACACTTAGATACTATCGCTGAAGTAGTATTATTTAATCTGACAAGTACTCTGTGTTACCTGAAGATAAGAATATGGGCTTTCTGTATGGAAGTTAATCTCTGAGTACCTGGAACCAAGCACCTGTTGTTGTTTGTGAAAGTGCATCTGTGGATGTAAAATTTATATAAAGGAAAAATTCTCAATAGTGGTAGTGAAGAGCCAAAGAGGCGCCCCCCCGAAATGTACTGAGTCCAGCACCGGGAGACACAAATCCCCAGACACCCAAAGGGACCCCAAGAGCGAAGGCACCAAGGAGGGGCCATCCCAGGAAATCCGACCCCCACCAAGGGAGGGGGAGAGACAGCCCCGAAAAAATATCCATATTTTTCAAATGTTACAAAGGTAATACTTAGACTTAGACAGATTTATTTTTGAAATTTCGTTTAAAACAGCTCTAGACAATTTCATTTTTTGAAGTGCAGCCTTGAACACAGTAATACATTTAAAAAAAAGTAATATAAACATATGACTGTATATTTAAAGTTCTAACATTAATCAATATATTTATTTATTTTTTATAAATCAAATAACCAATTTTACACAACATAATAAGGTCTAGTCTTGGATTCCAATGACACTATTGGCTTGAAATTTAGATATTTTTTTTTAAAGTATTATACTGAGTGCCCTATAAAGATGAATTGATTGATACCAACGTTGTTTGATTTGAAGAAGGTGGGGGGGTCTGGTTGAACTTTGGTGACCCCTGGAAGGTTTCATCCACATTTCCACCGGATTTAAGGAAATCTTCACCTGTTTTGCATCCCCAAATGGAAAAGCAAATAACTGAGGAACTGTAAGCCCAAATTACATGTGTGATACATTAATCGAAAGCTAACACCTTCTAGTTTCTGAATATATACACGGAAATTGGGTGAGCAAAACACAGCCCAAACTGCATCAGTTCAAACATGACTCAAAGTTGTTTTTTCTCAAAAATAATAGTTCTTTTTTGAACAGCAGTAATAAAGGCATGCTTGCTGTGGCTGCTTTGTCATGTTTACATTTGGACATGCTGCTATATCTGTGTTAATTGTGCTTTGGTGCTCGCAGTGTCCATAAAATTAACTAGGTGGTTGAATTGTGGAGAATCTAAGCTTTCCAACGACGTCTAACATGTCTACATTTTACCAGTGTAATTTTCATGCATTCTGAGTTATTAGTTTTAAACGCTTTAAACCGGGTTAATGGCGACAGGTTAATGGTTTGGAGAGGCTAAAATGACAGCAGCACAAATGTAGCACGAACCTTTGACAGCAAAGTGTTTGTGTTTTCAGTCACTGACCAGAGAAAGGATTGGATTCATTTCCAACCTGCTGATCACTGATCAATAATAAGCAGCGGATTTCTCAGCACATCTCCGGCTCCAGTAAATCCATCTACGCTCCTCATAGCTCCGATAAAGAATGCCTCAGAGAATAAGAGGAGGGGGCGCAGCCCGTGTTTTTATAAAGATAGGTTTATGAGCTGCTTTTCTTTCTGCTTTGACAAACTGAGGGCTCTGCTTTTTTCAGCAGACAGGAGGAATAATGCCGCCTCCTGTCAACAATGCTTTATGAGAGCTGCTTCCAAAGGCATTGTAATAAAAAATAAACATGATGTTTCTGAAAGATGATCTCCTACAGATCCCTAAATTAATAACTCCTTCACAGCAAAGGAAGGGCTAAAGATGGTTTTAATATAGCAGCATATTTCCAACAGAAATCTGCCTTAGCTACAGAGTCTCCATGCAGCCTGTTTGTGTTTCTGTGTAGGAGTTGGAGGAGAATCTGCGAGAGACCCAATCGACTGCTCAACGGCTAGAAACCCACCTGAAGCAGAAGGAAAAGCTCTACGAAGACAAAATAAAG